GAGATGCACTTCTCTTATACGCCAAACCCATTGGCAACTTTGTTTAAAATCCAAATTCAGTAGCTACCCGTGCTCAGTCTCAAGCAATCTGGCATTGCGAGATGCACTTCGTTCATACGCCAAACACATTGGCAACTTTGGTTAAAAAGCCAAATTCAGTAGCTACTCGTGCTCGGTCTCAAGCAATCGAGCAGTGCGAGATGCACTTCTCTCATACGCCAAACACATTGATAACTTTGTTTAAAATCCAAAGTCAGTAGCTACCCGTGCTCGGTCTCAAGCAATATAGCATTGCGAGATGCATGCACTTCTCTCATACGTCAAACACATTGGCAAGTAAAATTGATACGTCCAGTTGCAATTTTAAGGCATATGTCAAAAAAGCTACATCAGAATTTGCTGCATTCCAACCTACAACTGTAAATGACATCGTTCATTTATTATGTGGATTATCAACCAATAAAGCGACCGGCATTGATAAGATTTCGTGTAAAATTATTAAAATAGCTGCACCTGCCATTTCAGATTCACTGACATTTATTTTTAATCAGGCTATTACTTTATCTTCTTTTCCTGATGAATGGAAAATGGCTAGAGTAACACCCTCTTTATAAAAATGGCCAACAAAATATTCCAGGAAACTACAGGCCAATTTCAGTTTTACCAGCAATAAGCAAAATCATGGAAAGAATTCTGTATAACCAACTATACAATTATTTAACCAAATTTGGATTATTAAGTAATTCACAATTTGGTTTCCGGAAATCTCACTCAACAGCCACAGCATTACTAAACTGCACAAACGAGTGGTATGTAAATTTAGATAGAAAACTATTTAACTTAATAGTTTTTATTGATTTAAAAAAAGCATTTGACACTGTTGATCACAATATTCTACTAGAAAAGTTGGAGTTTTATGGAATAAAAGGACAAGCTCTTTCTTTCCTAAAATCGTATCTCACAAATCATAGCCAGAAGTGCAAAATAAATGGATTTGTTTCATCGGAGCGCTTAATTAGATGTGGTGTACCACAAGGTTCTATTTTAGGACCATTATTGTTTTTATTATACATCAATGACTTACCCGAGTGCCTTGATAATACAAGACCTCGCCTATTTGCTGATGATACAAGTCTCACAGCTTCTGGAGACTCAATGACCGATGTTGAAATTGCAGTAAATTCTGATCTAGAAAATCTTAGAAACTGGTTGATGGCCAATAAACTTAGCTTGAATGTAGCTAAAACTGAATTCATGTTGATTGGCTCAAAACGAATGATAAAAAATATTCACCCAAATATTATTATTGAAAACAAATAAATTAAACAAGTTTATGAATGCAAAACTCTTGGAATAATAGTTGACCAGCATTTATCTTGGAAAAGTAATACTGAAAATATTTGCAAGAAAATAACATCCGGAATCTCTGCTCTCCGTCGTGTTAAACCTTTTGTTAATAGAGATACACTTATCTCAATATATAATGCTATTGTTCGTCCACATTTCGATTATTGTTGTGAAGTGTGGGATGTGTTTGGTGAAACACAGTCAAAACGACCTCAGAAACTTCAAAATAGAGCTGCTCGAATTATCATGAGTATGAGCAACGATATAGATCACACTATTGCTTTACAGGCTGAATAAAATGGGCCCTGAGTCACTCACAAACCTTTTCACCTATAAAAGTGGGATGACAAATTACAAACTTCGGGACATTTCCAGTGGTCTTTGTTTACCACAACCTCAAACAAATAAAATGAAAAATAGTTTCATGTATAACGGAGCTCACTTATGGAACTCTATTCCAAATGAAATTAGGGAAAGCAAATCCCTGTCATGTTTTGAAAATAAAATTGCTACTCAAATTCTTTAACTAAAACAAGATCCTAAGAAACTGAAAACCTAAAATACTTGTAAATATATATATATGACTTACTTATAGTTTATATAACTTAGTTGATATTATAGATTGTAAATAGCTTTAAATACCTTATACTATATTTGTAATTCCTTTTTACACGCCCCCTGTGGAAATCAGCCTCGGTTGACAGGGTTAGCGTGGATAAATAAAGTTTATCTATAACTTTAAACTAGATTCAACCAACATTAATGCCGTCGAATTTTGTGAGTGTTTGATTGCATATTTCTACTCAAAAATACCCTTTAAAAAATCGTATCTGCTCATGCACTTGTGTTCCGTGTTCATCTTTCTTGTGATTTCCGACTTCTATTTTTAATAAAGTTTGGTGAAATCCTTATCTTTTTGGCTAAAAATCTTGCGCAAGGTTCACAGAAAAATTTGGCCCAAAACGTCAATACAATGCTTTCCTTTCATGTCAAATTTTCGTTGTATATCATCCAAAAACCTCTTCTTTTTTCGCTTTTAAAACTTGCTGTAAAATCCTTCTTTGCAACAATATCTCCATTATTCATTATTTTTGAAAAACTAAGGTTTTAAACTTGAAAAACTTTGGAGTTTCTGACCAATTTTCTTGCATGATACACCGTTGAAAAGCTCGAATTTCACGTTCTATTTTCGTATCCGTTGCCAGGCAACCCGATAAACACGTGCTCAAATATCATGCCCGCAAGTTGAGGTGTCATTTGAGGGCGCATGCGGGCGCATTGTACGTTACCCACTTGTCAATCTCAGGGCGCATACGGGCACATTGGGCGTTAATGAGTTAAACGTCTTTATAATTTTTTTATTAGAAATAAATTTATTCACTCCCTTGCCGTCAGGGTATCGTCCCGGGGATTCCACTGTGAATCAACTCATACTTATGGTACATACAATTTATGAGGCTTTAGAGCGTGGAAAGGAAGTGCATATGGTTTTCTTGGATATAAGTAAAGCTTTTGACAAAGTGTGGCATAAAGGTCTCCTTTTTAAGTTGAAACGTTTAGGTATTAGAGATCCATTACTATCTTGGATTAAAAGCTATTTGACAAACAAAAAACAATGAGTAGTTATTGATGGAAACATGTCTGATTGGAAAGACGTTGAAGCAGGAGTGCCACAGGGATCAGTACTTGGGCCACTGCTATTTCTAGTTTATATAAATGATATATTACTGATAATATTCAAAGTACTTGCTTTCTTTATGCAAACGATAGTTCTTTGTTAGAAATTGTCGAAGATCCTCAATTAAGTTCAGCCAAACTTAATAGTGACTTAACAAATATTAGTAAATGGACATGTGATTGGCTCATCACTATTAATCCTAGTAAAACTGAAGCAGTGATCTTCTCCACTAAGAGATACAAACCAGTACATCCAGCTTTATATTATGAAAATAATGAAATAAATATTGTCAATAGTCATAATCATCTTGGAGTTGCTCTTTCTTCTAACATGTCCTGGAGAACACATGTTTTAAATATTCATGATAAAGCTTCAAAGCAATTAAATTTATTGAAAGGTTTGAAATTTAAAATTAATAGAAATACTTTGGAAAAGCTTTACAAATCTTTAATTAGACCTCTTATGGAATATGCAGATGTTGTTTGGGATGGTTGTTGTGAAAATGTTAGCGACTTGCTTGAATCTGTACAATATGAATTTGCTAGAGTGGTCACTGGTGCAATGAAGGGTACTGGGCACCAAAGACTGCTCGAGGAGTTAGCATGGGAATGTCTGAAGACAAGACGTTCAGTTCACAAACTTGTTTTGTTCTTTAAGATAGTTAATAATTCGACACCAAGTTTTTTTATCTGATTTGCTTACTCCTACGACACAACAAAGGGTTATTGCTAAGATCTGCCTGTAACTTTAGCTTATTCCAATGTCGTACGGAAAGATTTAAAAAAAAATTTTTCCTGCCACTACAGGCTTATGGAACAGTTTAGACTATAAATTCAGGGATACTCAATCGTTAAGATATTTAAAAAGTTATTTGCAGGATTTCTTTGACATTTCAACTTATGAGAAACACTATGATTATGCACTAGATAGATTTTTATATTGTCCCCGATATGCTGCTCTTAGGACTTTCTTGTTAGCGGCCATGGTTGAAATCTTGGGAAGCGGCTGGTATCACATGTCCGATTCTTCTAAAATGAAAATTGCTTTTGTTTGGATCTGACTTTGAATCAAAATAATGCTATTTTTTCCATGTACAAACATATATCAAAAGATCGGAGCGTTTTGCAATTTGTAATGACTGATCCAATCGCTTCTCAGGCTGTCTATATTATTTATACCACCATAAAATGTATTTAAATGTAAATTGGCATGAGCCCCCCAGATGAGCTTAAATAGCTCTTGGGGCAAACGAATAAATAGGTTTAAATAAATAAAAAATATATAAGATTTAGTTGGTCAGTTCATTTACCTTGCCCTGGCCAATGCCTTACACTGGGATTTTGAGACTGGCTCACTTTGGCCTACAAAGTACAACTTTTACTCAACTTTATTCAACTTTGTACAAAATGGCGGATCCTCGTATTTTTGTAGCACACTCAAGCTGCACTTGCTCTCTTCTTGAGTTGCTTTTCTTATCATTATTCAGCTGTTATTCCTTAAGTTACAATAGATAACAACTGTAATTCTTTAGAACTTTACAGATATTCTCTAAAGCCTTTTAGGCGAATGTTAACATTCAATTTCAGTTCTAGAATACTAATATTAAAACATGGCGGCCAATTTTTTTTATACTGCCAAAGTTGCACGCTGACCAGCAGCGCTGGCTCACTAATTTATACTAATTATGCAAAACTGCAAATTATTGCAGTTACATGGTTCCCCTAATTGTAAGAACAATTACAATAAATACATTACTTTACTAATAGTTTACTAATTTTTTTAGTGTTTTCTACCTTTTTATAAAATTGTCAATTAAACGTTTATTTCTATTAAACTTATTTCTATAAGTTCAAGTTGGCTCCTTGATGGGGAATCTCTCTGTGTCTCCCTTTTCCTCAGGATTCGTCTTGAGACAGCAGCAAAACCAGTTTATGTACGGGTCTGTCAAGGTATGTTTGTGGTCGCATTCGCCTACCTTGTCTATCCAGATCTCCGTCTGACTTTAGAATACGCACCTTTCTTACACATCCGTCTTCACTTGGGTAAACGTCTACTACTTTAGCAAGTGGCCACTTGTTGTGTGGTTCTTCACTCTCTTTCGATATTACTATATCACCAACCGACATATTTCTCTGTGGACGACTCCACTTCTGACAACTTATGACGATTATGTAAAAAAACTCTTCTCCACCACTTTCGGGAATATAAATCTGCTCTTTGGAATTGTCCTGGAGGTGGTAGAACAACTTTCGATTTAAGTGTGAGCAAGTGATTTGGTGTCAATGGTTCTAACATTTCAGGATCATTTGTCATTTATCATTAGTTCATTTGTTCATTAGTTCATTTGTCGTCAGGGGTCTGGAGTTTACAATGCATTCAGCTTCGGTCATGAATGTCCTGAAAGCTTCATCATCCAGTTGACTACCAGAGGAGATAAGTACAAATTCGAGTGCATCACGAACAGTTCGAATCATTCATTCCCAGGAACCTCCCATGTGACTAGCATGGGGAACGTCCATTTGAAATGGTACCCATTCTGAGCCATGTTGGATCATATGCTTGTGTATCCGACATTGATCATTTCTCTCAGCTCATTTCGGGCTCCTACGAAGTTGGTGCCTTGATCACATCTTAATTGTCTTCCAGGACCATGTCGGCTTAAAAATCGACTCAAAGGCATTGATGAAAGGTGATGTATTGAGTGAATTTGCCGTTTCTAAATGGACATTTCTACTCGCTAGGCAGGTAAAAGAACACCGTATCGTTTTACTAGGCTTCTTTTTTCTTTGATAGTGAATGGTCCAAAGAAATCCACTGCACAATAAGAGAAGGGGGACGAAGGATCTATACGGTCCTCTGGTAAATCAGACATCTTCTGCTTCTGCAGGAATCCGCGGAGACGCCGACACACCACGCACTTTGCTAGCAGATTAGAAACGGCAGAAGTTCCTCCAACTCATTATGGGTGATTCCTCTGCCCATATGATTCACTTTCACGTGACAATCATAGATGAGAAGGTTGGTTATGCGACTCTTTCGAGGAATTACAACAGGATGTGTGATTGTTACCGGAAAATTCGCTCGTTTAATACAGCCACCCACACGAACTAAACCATCATCGTCTAAAAACGGGTCTAAGCGATATAGCAAACTGTACCTCTTAATTTCTTCATTTCGTTTTCTAGCTACATTTCTTGAAACATCTGTTTCTCTCACTTTGAGACACTTCAGAACTTGAATCTCTTCCCCAAAATATTTACGTTGGATCGCCCTCAAAATTTCTTTCTCTGCTTCTTGTAATTCAGGGAGCGAGACAGTTAGTCTAAACAAAGGACGTTCATTGAGTGAATTTGATAAATTGGGTTTCTTTACTTCTTTTCTTCTCACTCTAACTTTCAATCGTAGACATAACGCTATAATCTTCTGAGCACGATACCAATTTGACACATGGTTTAGGCGATCTGCATCCCAATCCTGTTTGCTTGACTCATGGCTATATACTTTGCTGACTACTGCTTTCTTCGCCTCAGGATCATTATCATTCACAACAAATTTCTCGATAATTTGAGATTCAAAAGTTCCACATTTCCACAGAAAACTTGGGCCCTTTAGCCATCTGGATCCATCCGCAGGATTGTCATTGGTATCTACGTAGTTCCAGGATAAAGGGTCAGTGGCATCTCTAATTTCCTGAATACGGTTGGCTACGTAAGTATGGAATCTCTTAGCAACATTACTAATATAGCCCAAAACAATTTTACTATCTGTCCAAAAGTATTCTTTGATCTCCTGATAAGATAGTTCGTTCCTCAAAAACTTGCTCATTCTAGCAGAAATGGTTGCTGCAGTGAGTTCTAATCTTGGGATAGTTACTTGCTTAAGTGCAGTAACTCTTGCTTTACCGACTACGAAGGAACAGTGAACCTTATCTTCATTTATTAACCGGATGTATGAACACTGTCCATATCCTTCTAGACTAGCATCAGAGAAGTGATGCAATTCCGTTGATTTGACTTTGCAAAAGATTTGACTTTGACTTTCTGGTTTGAAACGTCGTTGGATTTGTAAATTCTCAACATTATGAATTCACGTCGCCATTTCTCCCATTGCGCAGAGAGATTGTGAGGTACTGGATCGTCCCAATCGAGTCTATCTCGACACATTTGTTGCAAAATTTGCTTTCCTTTCAATGTAATGGGTGCTAAATATCCATTTGGATCGTAGATGGACCCCACGGTTGAAAGAATTCCACGTCTCGTCACAGGATGATCCTGTAGCTCTATTCTAAATTGCAAACTATCGTTTTCAACACACCACCTTATACCTAACGCCTGTTCTATTGGCAAATCATCAACTTGTAGATCCAAGTCTTTAAAACATTTGGCCCTTTCCTCAATGGGAAAAGCTTTCAGAACATCCCTACTATTAGAAACAATCTTGTGTAACTTCAATCCTGCTTTAATTAACGTAACTGCTTCATTAACATTTGTCACTGACTTAACACCGTCATCTACGTAAAAAATCCCTTCTTATAAACTCTGCAGCATCCTCTTCAAATTTGTCTTCTCCTTCATCAGCAGCTCTTTTCAATCCGAAGTTTGTGCAACCAGGTGAACTCACTGCCCCAAAGAGATGAACTTTCATCTGATAATCCACCATTTCATTGCTGGGATCACCATCTTCCCACCACAGGAAGCACAAAAGATCCTGATATTCTTCTGACACTACAAACTGATGAAACATTCCTTTAATATCTGTCAAGAAGGCGACTCTTTTTTGCCGGAATCTACACAGAATCCCAAGAAGATTGTTAATTTGATCAGGTCCTTGCAACAAATAGTCGTTGAGTGATGTTCCATTAAACTTTGCAGAACAATCAAAGACAACTCGAATTTGTCCGGGCTTTCTTGGATGGTATATATCAGTGTGAGGTACATAATTTATCTTTCCGTCTTCAACATCTAAACGGTTTGCGGTACTCTTTCTGCACAATGATCAAGAACATCTTCCATGAACACTTTGTAATCTGAGAGGAATTTTGGAACCTCATCAAAAGTTGTTGCCATCTCTTGACAGCCCATGTCCTGTTATTGGGCAGCACAATTCTGTCTGATTTAAGTGGCAGAGACATTTCATAGTGACCATCAGGAAGTTGCTTTATACCTTTCTCGAGAATTTGCATAAATCGTGCATCTTCAACGGAATACGCTTTACGATCCATTTGTCTTTCAATAAAATCTGATTCCAATACTTCTAGAACCTTCTGGGGTTGTATGATTTCTTTAGCCTTTGTTGCAAATGCAAAGTTAGGGTATGACGTCACCACAGTCTTGTTGCAGTATCCATCTTGGATTACGTCGTCTTTCTCAGAAGACTTACAAACATTGCCGATTACTCCCCAACCCAATAGAGACCTCTGTCCATATGGATCATCTTCTCCTCCCACGATTAACTTCTCGGGGCCTGACAATCCTCGGACAATTATTTCCGATAAGCAAGGAAATTTCAACATCAGGGTCGTATGGCATCATCTTGTCCGCGATGACTTGAAGATGTTCCCACTGAGCAGCAACGTCTGGTTTTGGAATCTACGATCTATTTGACGGAATGACATCTCTCTTGTACAACATAGGTAATTTCACTACAAGTTCACGTTGATAATCTAAGACTTCTAGGCCCCGAATTCGATTACTCTGGACCCTTACTTTACTTTCTTGCATAGTAGACAGCAACAATTCGGTAGAAGGTCCCTGTACACCCAAACAGCTGCAAATATTATTTGATATGAAGCTCACATTCGATTGATCATCTAAGATGGCATACTGCAATAACTCTTTGTTCGGATCGTTTGTTTGAAGAACCCACACAGGAACAATCATAGCATTGTCTGTGCCACCATCAGCATGGAGGAGTGGACACACATTAATACAATTGGACGAATTCTCCTTTTCTTTGTCATTTGACTTCCTATCCTTTATATGAAGGCATTTCGGGTGTAATCTGGAACATTCATTACACTTCAGTCTTTTCCTGCAGTTAGCTGTCACATGACCATTGCAGAAACATCCAAGACAAAGACTGTTCTTGAGAAAGAAATTCTTCCTCTCCTTGAAAGACTTCTCAGTGAACTTTGTGCATGAATTGAGATCATGGTCTTTCTTTGCAGAACAAGCAGACTCTATATTCTTGTTATTAAAATCTTTCTCTTCTGATCTCATCGTTGTATACGCGCTAACACCTGCATGATCAAAGGGTAATCTTCTGGTTTGCCTAGGGGTTTCTTTAAGCTTGGACAGCTCTGCTAACTCGGGAATATTGGCTTTGTCAGCACAAAGTTTTATAAACTCAACAAACTTTGAGAATGGTGGATAACTGTCCTCTCCACGTGATTCTCTCCATTTATTTATGTAGTCTCTCAATTTATTCTGAATATGATAGGGCAACTTTGCCAACATCTTTACGTTTTCTTTTGCAAAGTCTAAGACATCCAGACTTGCTATTGTTGTTTTGGCGGCTTTAATCTTCAGCAAGAAATCTGAGAATTCCCTCAAAGAATCTGCATTTCTTGCCCCGATGCTCAGCCAAGCATCTAACTTGCTAATAAGGGTGGAACTGACTACATTACTATTACCATATCTTTCATAAAGTAGTGTTTTTGCTGATTGATATGCATCTTCAGTGCCTATTAACAGGAAATGTTCCACAAGTTTCTTTGGTTTTCCAGTTACAAACTGGCTCAGAAAATTAGGCTTAGTTTGGGCATCCATTGGCTTAGAATCAATAAATGCTTTAAACGAGCCATGCCATATTGGGTACTGCAAAGGATCCCCATCAAACACTGGGATAGAGATATTCAGAAGATGTCTCGATATTGCTAATTTCCTACTCATATCATTCTGTTCTAAAGTGGCAGTGGTTAACTTTGTGTTTACATTAACAAATTTGTCCATGCATTTTTCTAAAAGGTTTTCCTGAGGGGCAGGTGATACTGCAGAATTATTAGCAGGTTGGGAGGGAATTTGTTTTCCTACAGGTGCTTGACTAACTGTGTTGTGGTCTCTATCACCTGGGAGTTTCTGTTCATCCACATGGTTTACACCTGCATGTTTTGCTTGTACAGAGTCAAGAAACTTTTTCATTACTTCTTCTTTTGCAGTATTTTGATTTACAGGTAAATCTTGATCTGATGCTAGACTAATGCCATCTTCTCTATCATTCAATGTACAAACATTCAACTTTGCATGATGTCCAATTTCACTTTGAAGCTGTAATCTTTCTACAGTCTCTTCGTGTTCGGCCTTTAGCAACTCCATTTACGATGTTCTAATTTTAATTTAGTTTCCTCTTCCAAAAAAGCTAGTTTAACTTTTAACACAGCTTCCTGTAATTCTAAATTGAGTTTAGTACTTTTGGCCGAGCTAGTTTTAGTCATGCTGGATCGCTTTGACCTCTTAGACTTCGATGAAACATGTGAATAAACTTCTAATTTCTGCTGTTCTATATTTAGCTGTTCTAAATATGTGATTTCAGCCTTCGTATTTTCTTCAAAGTCCTTCCATTCACACTCAGTCTGTTCTTTTACACGTACTTCTTCGCCACTAACAATATCTCTTAGGTCCCCAAATATATCATGAAATTCACCAAATAACACTTGTGCTTTACTAAATTCATGCTTAATAGTATGAACATGCTCATTCTGACCTCTCAATAACATGGTAGATCTTACTTGTCTTATGAATTCATGTCTTTTGTCTTTCAAATTCTTCATCTTCAGATTCACCTGATACTGCAGACCTTTCTCAGTCAATTTCCATGTTCTCGTCACTTCTTCACAGGGGCGCACATTCAAAAAAAATTTGGGGGGGTGTCCTATTTTCCGGGACCGACTTTTGTAGTATTTGTGTTTGATAAGAAAAGCCAACTATTTTAAGGTGTGCACAGTACTCGTGAACGGTGAACCGGTGAAAGTTCGGTTTAATTAATGTCACAGTCTTGTTATAAATACAATTAATATAAAATTTAAGAGTTGCATGGACGTATGGCACAGGGCCGTAGGAAACTCTTTTCGATTTGGGGGGAGGGGGGTGGGGCTGAAAGCGAGGGCCGAGGCCCGAGGAAATTTTTAAATTTAGAGTCTCTGCAATGCCATTTCCTGGACTTTGGGGAAGATTTAACAGAATTCTGATAGTCAGAAAAAAGCGTTTTAGCATGTCAAAATTTACAATTTATAGTAGTACTAAATGGCCGAAAGCGTATTTAATTAACTATTATATGTTGAATAAGTTGCAGGAAAGTGTGGGTAATACCATGGATTGTAAAATAACATGTACTTTATTATCCATGGTAATATCTTCATTCTTTGCA